TGCTTTAATAAGCTGCCTTATCTTTAGCAATAACTCTGTCAAGTCAGTTTAGCCAAAATCATACTTGCCTATTCTGCTTCCTCTTAGTAATTTTCTATCTACTTGGCCCTCACCATGGTCCTGATCTTATATTTGGAGTCAAGGCTATTCCCTGTCCTGTGCAGCAAAACTCCACTATCTCTATTCACAGATTACATGAACTTATATAGAGAAAATCTTGAAAAACTCATAAAAGCTAATGAACCTAATAAATAATTCATCAAAGTTTCAGGGAAATCAATACCACCAAATAATTTGTATATCTACAGAATACCAGTGAACAAACCAAAAAGAAAATTAGCAAAAAAATTTAATTTTTTGCTAATTGAATACTGCCTACAAAAACTAAATACTTAGAAATAAAACTAATCAAAAAGATGAAACTGTTGTATGCTGAAAATTAAATAGCATTTCTGAACAAAATTAAAATCTATTATAGTGGAAAGACAACACATGTTCATGAATGAAAGATATAATGTTGTTAAGATATATGTACTGTACAAGAAGAAAGACAGATTTAATGCAATCCCTATTAAAAAAAATCCAATAGCATTTATTTTCAGAACTGGAAAAGCTAATCCTTAAATTCATATAGAATTTTAAAGGGTCCCAGATATTAAAACAATACAGGAGAATAAAGTTGAAGGACTCATATTACCTGATTTAAAACTTACTACAAATCTATCATAAAACCTTATGGGTACTGACATAAGGAAAACAGGAAAGGAGGAGGAACCCATATAAAACCCCTCACATTTATAGCCAGTGGATTTTCAATGAGGATGTCAAAACCATTCAAGGGGAAAGGGTGTTGTTTTCCAGAAATGGTGCTGACAAAGTGGATATGCTCATGTAAAAGAACCAAGCTATACTCACCATATACAAAATTAAATAAAAATGGATTAAACACCTAAATGTAAGAGCTGAAACTACACAAGGTTGGAATTTCTGTTACCACAGGTAGTCTTTCAGTTCCCATATGGCATGCCTGCCCATACTAACTAGGGGAACCAGGTAGTTCTTTGGGATTGAGCTGGGAAGGTGTGTGTTAGTTTTCACTGTATTAAGCACCCGAGACAAGTCAGCCTGATAAGAGTGAAATGGGATGTTGATTCTGAGTCTGTATCCTGACAAAGTTGATTGAAAATGCCAGACCAGGAGTTCAGAGTAAAGCAAGCACAAAGTTTATTGAAAGGACAGCAAAGATCCCTGCACAGGAGGGAATTAGTGAAAAAGGATAATTCTTGGAATGGCTGAAGTCTAGGGGATAATAGAGTGCTTTGTCCGACTTAGGTCCACCTTGAAACTACGTTTGTGAATGGATGCCATCTAGTTGACTTCTTGCTGAATCCCATCACCTGGTCATGCCCATCTTTATCAAACTGGACATTCCAAAAGGGTCTGGTCAGTTCATCCTGGCCTCAAGCCCTCCCTTTATATTTTATGACTGCCTTTTTTTTATCTTGGTGAGTCCTGCCATTCACACTTTATAACTACCTTCTGCTATTTTGGTGGGAGGTCTGCTGTGCTGCTTTCCTTGAGGAGCCTGTTTCTCATCTCTTTGGATATTTTTTTTAAAAGATGCCTTTCTGTCTCCCTTAACTAGAAGAACGCTGTATTTTATTATCTTGGTGAGAAGCCTGCTCCTCACATCTCCTTAGATATTTACCCTCCGCTTTCTCTTATCTAAACAAAGTTACTTCTGCATTTGCTCTTTCACATTCTTCTGATTTTTGCTCCGCTCACATTCCTAAAGTCACTTTTCTCATTTGCTCCCCTCACAAGAGGAATGGTTTATTTTGGCTCACAGTTTCAGAGGTTTCATTCTATGATTTCTTCCACTGCTTTGGGCCTATGGGGAGGCAGTATATTATGGCAGGGCAACAGCAAAGGAAGCTGCTCACTTGGTGGCAGCTGGGAAGCAAGGGAGAGGAAGAGAGGCCAATATTCCATTCAGGGCACACCTCAGTGACCCCACTTCATTGTATTAATTTTCACCTCCTAAAGGTCCCACCATGTTCCAACAGTGCCATTGGCTGGGGACAAAGTCTTCAATATGTGGGCTTTTGGGAAACATTCAAGATCCAAGCCATATCTAACAGTAAGGATGCAACTCATCTGAACTGCTTTGTAGGATCTGGGAGAAGGTTCAGTTGAACTGCAGTACTTACCCAATCACTTCTGTCTCTGCACAGGTGTGTGAAGTGGTCCCTGATTCCTCATATTTTGGGTACCCAAACATAGGATGCTGGCACACAGATGGGAAGGTTGTAGCAAACTGGGATTCTTGAGGTCTTTTCTAGTTGATAAGGTCCCAAATCGGATCACAGGTTACAGGGGAAGTTCCCTTTTCTGATGATCAGAGGAATGTGGTGTGGACGTATGAAATGTAACTTTGTAACATCACCTTATTCATATGTAGTGACATATACAGAAATAAGCTGTCTCCAGGGTTATATAGTTGGCAAATGTCACTCAACAGACTAAATTCAATCACACTTCCAGAGCTGGGAGTATTTAATTGCTTGAATGCTGCAACTAAAGCCTTCAGCACGCAGGGCAGGTACACAGGACTCATGAGACTCAGTTGCTGTTGCCATTAACAATATATTGCAGTACAAATTTTCCCTTTTCATGTTTAATGCTAGAGCACTTACTTTCTGCACCTCTTAGGCCAATTGTCATTGTTTTTGTCTTTCATCAATGACTTTTCTGCATAGGCCTTTTTTCTCCAATACAATAGCAAGCTGTTTTAAAGGCAGTGTCTGACTTCTCCTTAGGAACCCAGCATGGAGCTTAGCTCCCAGCAAGCAATTACTGATACATACCTTGATATTTTTGTAGCACTTTACCAATGACTGACCAACAGGCTTTAATGAGATTTGACTAGATCACAGCTAAAAATTTGAGCTTGACTATCTAGGCATCAGTGCTCTTCAGTGACATGGCTATAACCTTCACTCAGGAAGAGGGCAATTACTTGCAGCCCAGGTGACCCTGTACTGAGAGGATGCTGAAGATCTGCAGGCTTCAGATCTCATTCGGTAAAGTCTTACCTCTCCTCCATGTGGGAACCTGAAGCTTCCTAATTCTGCTTTTTCCAAATCTGTAAGGTATTCTTCTTTCCCACAGCCCTGCAGTGTTCTTGCCTGACCTCCCACCTGGTCTCTTTGTTTCCTGAGTACTTGGGGGCAAGAAACACATTTTCCCTCAAAATGGCTCAGAAGGATTTCTTGGAAGGAAATGAAGATGTTCATCTTTGCAGTACCAGTGGCTTCAGAGGGTAGAGGAAAGGCATGGAATGGGAGAGAATAAGCTATAGCATTTCCTGTAAATATATTCAGGCAGTTTAGGTAGTCTAATAATTAATTACAACTGTTCTAAATTCTGGTACCATGCCATACTTCCTTAATTTAAAAAATCTCTGATCCTTCAATATCCCATAGAATTTCAAGATAAATCCTTGCATTTAAAACACACCACCCCACCCCAAACCCACTATCTTTACTGTGAACTACTATTGGAATATTCCTTCATGCATTGGCCTTCAATTAAGTTACCACAGGTATCAGGGTGTTTTGCATAAAGTTAGAAACCATACCACGTTATTATATTGATGCTATGTCTTCTTTTAAGTAACATTTTACTACAACTTTCAAATGCCTTAATGGGCTGGCAGTGTCTCAAGCAGTAGTGTACTTGCCTAGCCAGCATGAGGCCTTGAGTTCAAACTCCAGTACCACCAAAAAAAAAAAAAAAAAACCACTGAAACATAAGCTGTACAACTGCCCTTTGCTTACAAGTGTCCAAGTATTCCTAAATCAAATTAATCTGCACTATCTTTCTAGTCGCAAAATAAGAAACCACAGGGCTACTGCAAGTATTACATATCTTCTTTAAAAATGTGAAGCCATCCTACTTCCAAACCATAATTGTTTGCCAATGTTCAGTACAGAAAACAAACACTCTCTTTACGTGTTTAAAGAAGGCATACATTGCAGAAAGTCAATGCTTTCAAAATTGGTATGCTGGCTAGAGAAGTAATGGAGACAACTTCTAGGCTACTAATTTGAAAGTAAGCCCACATCACTAGGAAACACCTGCTGCTGCCAGCAGTAATACTTCAAAACCACAAGCTTACAGCCAAACAATAGAATGTTAGTCCAGCTGCAGCAAGCATGGGAAAACTTGCTCACTTGCTTTCCCTAGAATAACATTCAACACTCAATACACACACACACACACACACATATGCATACAGCTACATAATCAGAACTCATCACATAAATGGTAACTGGTACTCATCCTTTAGGATTCAGATGAAAAACTACACCCACAGCCAAGCATGCTCTAGTCTCCCATATGTTGATTCTTAATTATGCTCTCATAACCCTTGGAAAAGTTATTTCCAACTTACATGCTACCTCTTTTGTTAGCCATAACCTCTGTGAGACAGGACACATTGTTTTAGTTATTACAATGATCATCAAAATGTACTGTATGGACAAAGAGTATCAGTGCCACCTGAGAGTCTGTGGAAAATGCAAGTCTAAGGCTTCACATCGAGCTAACTGAAGCAGAAACAAATGTGGAACTCAGCAGTCGGTTTTAACAAGCTCTCTTAGGACCCTGACAATCACTAAGTTCTCTGAACTACAGGATTATTACATCCCAGCCCACAGCATTGCAGATGTCTCAGCAATGCTCAACAAATTTTGTTGAAGTAGGGGAATTAAGCCCACAGGAAATGAACTGTAAATTATCTCACCGAAATAATATTCTTAGCACAGAGGCCAGGCCATTTTCCTCTAGGTTTGCAAGTCTCCAATTAAAGACTATATAGTGTGGGTGGAATCAGTTTTTTTAAGAAGAAATGAAAAGTTTTGCAAGAAATACATTCACAGTAAAAGTTCCTTAGGAACAAAATTTTATTAAAGACTAAAAATTTGGTTAATGCCATTCTTAATTCTATAGCCTCTATTTTCAACATTATTAATGTTTGTTGAGTTCACACACCCAATAGCTAAAAATAATTTGTGTAGAACTCAAATTGCAAGATAGTGCTACAAGTGCATATGCATTGATAATATGCTTGTCTGCTCTCCTGTAGGATTTTGTTTATAAATAGTATCACTGCAAAGAAAGATTTACATGTAATTCCCATATCCTTCAGGTTGTTCAACCAGTAATCTGATGTCAACCAAGATAACTTTTAGTGAACACTGCTACATCGAATTTCTCTCCAGTATGTGTTCTTTGATGTAAAATGAGGGATGCACTTGAACTGAAGGTCTTCCCACCATTTCTAAATTCTCTGTACCCTATACAGTTTTTTTCCTTTATAACTCTGTAAGGGATTTCTATTGTCTACAGTCTTTCCCACATTTGCTATATGTACAGTTTTTACCCGTGTCTTCTTAGGTCAATTGAGGAATTAATACTGACAAGGCTTTCCCTCGTATTGTCTTCATTTGGTTTCCCTACAATATCTCTGTTAGACTATAAAATCTGCACTATTTCCAAAAGTCTTCCCATATTCACTACATTATAAGACATTTTCAATAAAAGTTTTTCAGTGTTGAATAGGGGAGAATCTATGGTTGCCGTGTATTATGACAAACAATGCTTCACGTAGTCTCTCATAGCATCACTTCTCACACATATAGTGACTCATGTGGTCTAAAGGCTTTTCCATGCTTACTGCACTATTGAGTTTCTCTCCATTATGTGTTCTCTGGTGGGCAGTAAGATTTGAGCCTTTGCTAAAAGCTTTCCCACATTCATTACACTTATATGGCTTTTCCCCAGTATGAATTCTCTGATGTACAGTGAGGTTTGAACTACAGTTGAAGGTCTTGCCACACTTAATACACTCAAAAGGTTTCTCTCCAGTATGGATTCTATGATGCTGAAAGAGGGATGACCTGTGACTAAAGGCCTTCCCACACACACTGCATTCATAAGGCTTCAATCTAAAGTGATTTCTCAAATGCATATTGAGTGATTCAGGCTGGCTGAAGGACTTACTACACTTCTGACATACAAAGGGCTTTTCTTCAGTGTGAATAGTCTGATGCTGAACAAGAAATGACAGGCTACTAAAGACTTTCATACACACATTACATTCATATCGTTTTCCCACTGTGTGAATTCTTTGATGTCGAGTAAGGTGTGAGCTACAGCAGAAAGCTTTCCCACACTCACTGCATTCGTAAGGTTTCTCTCCAGTATGGATTTTCTGATGGTGAGTAAGTGATGATCTATGAATGAAGGCCTTCCCACACATTTGACACTCATAGAGTTTTTCTTGAGTATGAATTCTCAAGTGTTCAATGAGATGTGCAACACGACTAAAAGACTTCCCACAGATCATGCATTCGTATGGTTTCTCTCCAGTGTGAGTGCTTTGATGATTAGAAAGTGAGGAGACATGACTAAAGGCCTTTCCACACTCGGTACATCTGTAAGGCTTCTCTCCACTATGGCTTATCTGATGTCGAGTAAGGGATGAGCCATGGCTAAAAGTCTTCCCACATTCATGACATTCATAGGGTCTCTCTCCTGTGTGAATTCTCCAGTGGCGATTAAGGGTTGATTGTTTGCCGAAGGCTTTCCCACATTCGCTGCATGTATAGACTTTATCTCTATTATAAGTCTGCTGAAGAGTAAGAGATTTACCCTGGCTAAAAGCTGCAACATTTTCACTAGAATTCAAATGTTTCTTTCTGCCATTGATTTTCTCCTTTTTCATAATTGATTTTTTTGGTAAGTTTTTGCTTGACATATCATGTCTCTGTGATTTCCCTTCACCAGAAATTTTGTGTGGTTCAGAAAGAGTAGACTTTAAATGGAAGATGCTTCTAAGGGTATTGTATTTGTAAACACGTTCCCCAATGGGGCTTTTTCGAAAGCCAAAGGTCAGTGATCTGAAATGTTCCCCTTGGCATCCATGCTCCCTCTCCAACCTCTCTACATACTTCACGTCCTTGTTAAGATCTGAAAATTCAAAACCCTGTTTTATGTTTTTTTCCATTATTACTGTTTGGGATGAGTCTTCATTAATATGCTTTGTTGATGACTCCTTGTTTTCCCATCTTGACTCCCAATCTGAAATACATCAAGAAAGCAAAGCACTGCTTTTTTGTATACTTCTTGAAAAGAAACTTCTATAGTAGAAGTAGGAGAAGTCTATTTTTTAAAAAATTAAAATGAAGTCCCTAGAAAACACATGGTTATGACAACTCATATATTTCAGTGAAATATATGAAAACACAGCTCATAGGAACAGGAATATAAGGTGATGAGCAAAATGGGAAAATAAAGGCGATTAGTATATGGGAAAAAAATGAAGCTAACTGAAAGAAAGTGTAGAAGACATTCCAAATCTCAAGCAATCATTTTGTGTTTATATTTATTGTCAAAGTACCTAACAGCCTTATTCTCCAACCTTCAATAAATCTCAATGCCAGATTTAAAATTCTTAAAATACAGAATTTATACTATTATTGAACATTAACAACACAATAATCTAAATGCTCTTTGTGTGTCACAAAGATGTCTTTCTGAGTTTATGTAATATCTGTATGAAATCATCTGATAATTTATTGGACTTTAGAAAATATCCCTAGAAATATATTGTAATAATTCCTTGTTTCCTCTAATACTTATGTTTATATAGATCTATGAAATAAGCTTTAGAGGAAAAGTGATTTTCCATCTATTTGACATCTAATTCAATATTAGATTAAAGCCATGAATAAATCTATTTCCTTAAGTGGACTTAAGAAAAAAATAATTTGCCTTATTTTGTTTTGAATAAAAAAGAGATCTGAAATGTTACAATAACAAAAACCTTTGACTAGATGACATGAGTAATAGAGACAGGTAATAATTCAGTATGGTGGAATGATCATTTTGAAATCTAAGTTAAGAAGGCCTGGGGATGTAGCTCAGTTTGATAATGCTTGCCTAGCATGTGGAAAGCTCTGGGTTTGACCCCCCAGAACTGCAAAAAACAAAAGAAAACAAAACATAATAAAAAAAATAACAAACTAAAATATAAGCTAAGGATTCCTTCAATTCATTTATATCTGGGATCTCTTGAACATGGTATCACTAAAATGTCTCTATGCTAACAACAAGCATCTTTAAAAAGACCTTCTTTGCCTGATTCACATGACTCAAAAAGAAACATACCTTTTGACAGTTTTTTCTCCACCATCCAGGGTTCTCTTCCATCTTCCAGTAAAGTGATCACATATGGCTTAGTTATGGAAAGACCTGCTTATAGAAAGAATATAGAACTACCTTAAGTTGTATTTCTCAAGGATGAGAGGCCATCACAAGACAGAGCAAAGAAAGAGTTAAAAGGTATTCACCAAAATGAGAAGATAAGCTTCAGACAAGGAACAAAGAAGCTGCACATTCCTCTGGGAACATGGTACAGAAATTCAGCCATTTATTTAGGAGGATTTCCAGCAAGTCAGAGTAGCAAGAGGAAGATTTTCCCCTACTGTAATGATGGTGGAGATACCCTTACCTAGAGAGACCAGGTTCTTATAATTCTGGACCATCACATCCTTGTATAAATCCCTCTGAGCAGAATCTAGCCATCCCCACTCTTCATGAGAGAAGTCTATGGCCACATCACTAAATGTCACCTGAAACAGCAAAGATACTTAGGTTCAACTATAGCCCAAGTCTCTTCTGAGTAAGGAAAAAGAGTTAAAAGAAAAAGGACATATCAAAAAAAAAAAAAAAAAAAAAACCAAAACCAAAACTCTAATGGAATGCTCATAAATGTGCTTAGAAATTTCTTCTCAACAGTACTTACAATATCATTTAACATACCAAAACTTGAGAAGAAACTTAAATGTTTGATAACTTAATGGTTAGTAAAATTATAATATATGCATTTAAAATGGCACTAGCAGCCTGGAATGATGATACATATCTGTAATCCTAGCACTCAATCTTCCTGCCTCGACTTTCCCAGTGCTGGGATTACAGATATATGTCCCAAGCCCAGCTGGTCCTTAGTTTTAAAGGGGAATTAAACTGTGTCAAGTGTTGGGGGTAAATCACTAAAAATCAAATCTCCTGCCGATGCAGAAAATGCTCTCCACAAACAGAAAAGAACACAGCTGCATTACTGAATAAGCATTAAATCAGACTGAGTCATGTAATCCACCAATGAGATGTGTGAATAGAAAGCAATCTCATAATTTTATAATGCCAGGCAGATACATTAATATTTTCAAAATAAAATGACAAATTTTCCTCAACTAAGAGGACTGACAGCACAATCTGCTACCTTATAGTTCATCCAAAATTTTATGTTAGTTGGAGTATCTGCTGTGTTAGTTAACTGTCTTTATGCCAAAGAAAAGAAAAGAAAGAATTTGGGCTGAGAATATAGTGCAGTGGTACAGCACTTGCCTAGCATGCACAAAGCCCTGAGTTTGATCCCCAAAATCATAAAACAAATAAATGTAAAAAAAAAAAAAAAAATATATATATATATATATATATATATATATATATGTAAAATATATTCTTGGAGTCTTGCTCTTATTTCCTGCATGGGGAACAGGAAATGTTTCTCCCCTCCTCCTTGTCTATACTTTATCCTATTTTACTGAAATAAATCCTTGCTAAAACTTCAAAAAAAAAAGTAAATAAATAAAATTTATTGTATCTTTATAAGTAGGTAGCTATAAGTGATAGTCAGGACCTAAGCTCAATTCCTACACATGCAGGGAGAGAGGGGCTCTAATGTCTTTGATGTTTACATCTCAAAGAGATGGCTCCAAGGCCCTTGAGAAAGACTTCACAGACTAGCAAATCTGGCAACAGGCTTGTATAGCTTTGTAAAAAGATTTACTTGTACCTCAAAGGGATAAGGAAATGTTTTAAAATTATAGACCTTTTTTTTTTTTTTTTTTGCAAAGAAATACTCTAAAAAAGGGGTGAGGGAGCCTGTTTCCCTTTTGGTACCAGGGAAAACTTTACTTTTTCAAAAACATTTGTGTTCAGACTTACACAGTTACTACAGGGTTATGCTAGCCTTACCATATGGACTGAAATTTTTTCTATTTTTTCCTACTTTTTACTTTTGACAATGGCTTTTAAATTATTAACTTTTACAAATCTGATATGACTAATAAAAAATCAACAATATACTAAATGTATAAAACATGTCTTACTCCATAAATGCAAACATATTTCATTTTTTCCATTTAGTATTTCATACTTTGTTTTGGATGCATATTAATGTCACTATATATTAATAGCTTGAAGAAGACAATCCACATACTCTCATCAGTAGATACTCTTTGCTCTTTATTTACAACCAGGGTTTCTCATCTGTGACACTACTGACAATTGGGACTGGATAATTCTTTGTTGCAGTGAGCTGTCCTGTATACTGTTAAGACAGCCCTGGCCACCAAGCTGGTCATTAGCAACACCATCTCACCCATATCCTCTTATGACAACTGAACAAAAAAAGTGTCTCTAGACATTACCAAAAGTCCCCCAGGTGCACTGCAAGCAGGGCCAAAATCATGCATTTGAGAACTACCACTTTAGAAAATTTGTATAGTTCCTTAAAAGAGCCTTGGAGCCCTCTCTACCTCTCAAGGTATTTTCTCAGTTAAGCATTACTTCACTTCCTCCCTGTTGTTATAAGCCTCTACAACCCAGCTCAAGCTTCATTTTCCCAGGGATGGTCCAACACCTTCTGTCCTTCAGTTGCCTGGGCAGCCTGGGTGTTCACTTGTCTTGTCCCCAAAAGAACTTAGGATATTTGTTCTAGCACTTATCTTAATATCTTTTATGTTTTCTTACATTTTTCCACTTTTGTACTGCTTAATACAGTAGCTGCTAGCCAATATGGCTATTTAAATTTAATTATCCTCAGTAACCGCCACAGGTGGCTATGGTACCCAAGAACACATATACAGAACATGCCCAACAACACAGAAAGTTCTCATCTAATGACACTGCACCAGAGCTTGAGTCTAGCATGTCAGTGTTCAATCTAATCCATGTATGATTTTTCCTAACAGGTACTTCATAGGTATTCAGAAGATGAATCAGTGAATGATTTTGGCATTATTTCACTTTGGCTTTTCCTTGTTAGAAGTTTTTTTCAGTTCTAACAATTAATTTTCTTGGGAAAGACTACCTAACACACACATCTGCAATCTATGTATTCATGTCTTTTTTTTTTTTTTTAACCTTTCACCCCATGATTCTGCCCCACCATTTGTATTTTGGTCACTCATTTTAATCACCCAAGAAATACTTATTAAACATCCATTTTGTGCAAGTTTCCACTCTGCATACTGAAAAACAAAAAGTATTACTCCCAGCAGGAGAAGACAAACAACCCATGCATATACCACATGCAAGTGAGTGAGCTGCTATGGAAAACACCAAAGCAGGGCAAAGAAGTGGAAGAGATGGGCAAGGGAAGGTGACAACAATTTTAAAACAGGGAAGATTTACTGAGAGTGTAACCATCAAGCAGAGTTACAAGTTTGTGTGCATCGAGGGAAGACTATTGTGAGCAGATGGTACAGCAACTTCCAAGGCCTGAAAGCAATGGCTGGAGCTCAAAGGGGAAAGAAGACGGAAAAGGTACGACCACTGAGAAACAGCCCAACCGTACACAGGCCACTGTAGATCTCTGACTTCTATTCTGAGCCGCAGGCCACTGAAAAATTTTAAGTTCAAGAATGATAGGATTTTATATGACAACAGGATCACTGTGACAACTGTATTACAAAGAAACTAAAGAGTATTAAAGGCATAAGCAAGGGATCCAGCTAGCTAGGAGGCTACTGCAATAAATCCAATTAGGTTGGGTCAGGGTGGGAATGGTGGGTGGTAGTAACGGAGTAACCAATGATCAGAACATATATTCTTTTAAAATTTTAGATACACTAGAGTATCTGAAGAGAATTATAAACGAAAAGGAAGAATCAACTGGCAAGACTGACATACCAGTAACTGGACAGCTCTGAAAGGGAGGTATTTGGGCTCCATCCTTTCCTTTTTTTCTTGGTAGGACTAGGGTTTGAAATCAGGGCTTCGAGCTTGCAAAGCTGGTGTGCTACTCTAGTCCTTTTTTTTTTTTCCAGCACTGGAGTTTGAACTCGGGCCTCATACTTGCTAGGCAGGAGCTCTACCACTTGAGCCTCTCCACCAGCTCCATGTTTTTCTGTAATGAAAGGAACCATAGATCCAATCCCTAAGTGGACTGTTGGGTGGCAACCAGGAAAAACAAAGGACATGCTCAAGAGTCCTGATAAATTTGTTTCAGGAATATTTGGGTACATACTGACTTACCTGCGACATTATTTCACAATTTCCAGTAGTCTATGCAGTTCTCTTTCCAGGCTCCTGGTAATGTCTAGGGAAGGCGGGAAACAAAACAAAAAGGCTTATCTTGCAGCTCTATGACACACTATAATGGAAAAGCACACAGGTAATCACACTCCGGGGCTCCAGTCTCTCCCTGTGAACTAATAAGGTATTTCTTGGCACAGAGTAAGCACTTACCAGGTGCCACCTGCAAGGAAAATCAACTACTTTGTACATAGGAGATACACTCGTCAACATTAATAATGTGAATTATCAGCTTGTTCTATCTTCACCATTACACATGGTTAGGCATTCATATTATTCTAGATTTGCTTTTTAAACGATGGCAGAACTAGGGCATATTTAAACCATTTGATCAGGGTTAGACAACTGGCAAGGGTCATTCAAATAAGCAACATTCAAACAGCTGTGGATGGCGTTTGCTCTGAGCATGCACAGGGAACACTCACGTTTACTTCTCACCCCAGGTGAGCGCCATCGCCACTTTCCCCTTACAGAACAGGCCAAGGAGGCCCCGCTCCAGGTCACACCTCGGAGTGGACCCAGGACCTTAGCAAGAGCCGGCCGTACGGCGTCCCGGGCCCCACGCCTGCGGGAAAACTCAACCGGGGCACCCGAAGCTCCAGGGCTGCAGAGCCGGCATCTCCGCATACCTGAGGCGCCGCTGCCTCCCGGGACCTGTGTTACCCGGTGTCCCTGCCGATTTGCACCGCCGCCGTCAGGACTGCCACTGTCTTGGGATGAGCCAAGAGTCACGCCACCTTTCCCAGTGTCCTCTGCGACTGGGACAAAAGTTCCTGACACACTTCCCGATAGCCTCTGCGGCTATCCGGGCTTCCTAAGACATTATGCAGCTTGGAGCCGTAGTCCCAGCGCGGCCAACAAAGACACACACTCAACGTGTCAGAGTTTACAGTATCTTTTGGTGACCTATACTTCCCAGAACGAAGGGGGTGAGCCCTGCATGTGTCGTAAAGACACTGGCGCCCAGACCAGGAAACTACATTTCCCAGAAGGCGGTGCGGCCGCGACAAAAGGTCTTCCGGGTCATCCCGAGCGGTCAGCCCTGTTCTCTAAGGATGTGAACTTACCTTGCTGGTACGGTAGGAGAGAGAACTGACTTCGGGTAAACAAAGCTCTCTCTCATCCAAAATCCTGCTGCCACCGGTCCAGGGCCAGTGTTCTCTGCGTCCGCTTGCACCGGACTATATTTCCTAGGATGCCCTGTGGGTGGACTGTCACACCAGCCTAGGCCAATTCACGGAAGTTCACGCCCGCAGTTCATCTCTGTGTCTGTACTGAAGGTCATTCGGATGCCCTTGAAGGACTTAGAAATGTTGCACTGCAGTGAATGCGCTGAAGACAATATTCCTGATCAGGAAGAAATCACTCTTCCTGCAACCCTGAGCCTGCCCTGCCTGGTCCCCAGAAGCGCTTTTTTGGCTCTGATCTTGTCCAGCCTATATATTTAGGCCAGAGCAATGAGCTATTGGTGTAAATTTATGTTGTTCACTTTTTAAATTATAACTGTACTTTTTTTAAAATTTACGTAGTGTGGCTGTGAATTTTCTAGTCCAAGTAACTAAGTGTATGATATTCATTAGGCAATGCTTCTTACTTGATGTATCTCATGTGTATGATAATTAATTACTATGGCAGCTATAGCTTTTATGGGGCATCAGCTGCCTTGCTCTCATATGCTTTCAGTATGTTAAAAGAGTATTCCTTTTCTAATAAATTTTACTATTAGTTCTATAATCTTTGAGTCCTGCTTGAATTCTTCTACTGCTGCTTGCAAGAATCAAGGTATTTACCAGCGATATTTTTCTGGTAACACATAGGCATGGCTGGGAAAGAGGTTTTTGTGCCTGAAGTAAAATTATTTACAGTACAGGGGATGAGGTTATCTCCAAAGGTTAGATCTACAGTTGGGGTGATCATCTGAAGTAACATCATCTCCAGAAGTGATGTAAAGGTTTACATGTGCTATGTTAAGAATTATTAGGAGCATGAGAACATTTAGAGAAGCAGCATCAAAATCCTGGTAAATAGGATGTTAGCTTTCTACAGGGCCAGCAGCAGAGGTGAAGAAATGTAGCCAAGATTATATGTAATTTCTAGTAAGAGCCAAAATGATTTCTCTTAGCCTGGACATGGTGACATAAGTTATGGGGTATACATGTCAGGACAGTATTATATTTCAAAATATCTCTAAACTAATATTAGCAGCCCAAAGAGAATCCCTTATTATTATGACACTGAAGATCCTCAACTAGAAGAGGGCTGTGGCTTTTCCCCTAGTCCAAGCAATAAATTAGATTTCATTAAGCCTCTTAAAAAGGAGACCATCTTAAAAAACATGCAAACAGCTGGTAACTAAATAACTCATTACTTAATGAACAATGGGTCATCAATGAAATAAAAGAGGAAATTAAAAAGTTCCTGGAAGTCAATGAAAATGAAAACACAACCTACCAGAACCTATGGGACACAGCTAAGGCAGTCCTGAGAGGAAAGTTTATAGCCATGAGTGCATATATTAAAAAGATTGAAAGATCCCAAATCAATGACCTAATGATACATCTCAAACTCCTAGAAAAACAAGAACAAGCAAATCCCAAAACAAATAGGAGAGAAATAATAAAAATAAGAGCTGAAATCAATGAAATAGAAACCAAAAAACCATACAAAGAATTAATGAAACAAAAAGTTGGTTCTTTGAAAAAATAAACAAGATCGATAGACCCCTGGCAAACCTGACTAAAATGAGGAGAGAAAAAACCCAAATTAGTAGAATCAGGAATGCAAAAGGGGAGATAACAACAAACACCATGGAAGTCCAGGAAATCATCAGAGACTACTTCAAGAACCTATATTCAAATAAATTTGAAAAGCTTAAAGAAATGGACAGATTTCTAGATACTTGTGATCACCCAAAACTGAACCAATACAACCACTCTGGAAAAAAATGTGGAGGCTACAAAAACAAGATAGCATTTGATGTCCTCAGTGCAAAGGAACTAATGAAGAAACTTTAAAGCAACAGAGGCCAATAGGAGAAGGGGACCAGGAACTAGAGAAAAGGTTAGTTTGAGAAGAATTAATTTAGAATGTAACACATATATTCAGGAAAGCAATGCAAGTAAACTCCCTATATAGCTATCCTTATCTCAACTAGCAAAAACCCTTGGTCTTTCCTATTATTGCTTATACTCTCTCTACAACAAAATTAGAAATAAGGGCAAAATAGTTTCTGCTTGGTAGCGAGGGAGGTGAGGGGGAGAGGAAGGGGGCAAGGTAAGGGAAGGGGTGGGGGGAAGTGGGGAGAAATGACCCAAACATTGTATGCACATATGAATAAAAGAAAAAAACGAGCGGGCTCTAGTGCATTAGCACTGACTGTAGGGAGTCTGTTTAGAAGAATAACAGTGATCAAGCCAACATGAAGGGTGGCTCTGAACAGGTAGCACCTGTGATGGTGATAAAAGTGTTCATATTCTCAATATATTTTTAAATGTGCCACTGGGTTTCTCATTTGATTATATGTGCATTTGTAAGAGAAATGAACTTGGAGGAAGTAAAATACCTTCGAACACCTCTGGAAACTTTGGTATATTTGACTGGAATAATGCAAACATTACATAAAGAGAAACAGGTATTTAGCAATGTCATATGTCCCCAGTCAGAAGAGAATTTGCGTAATCACAGTAATAAAGAAAAAATTTAGCAACTCTTCCAGTTGCAGGTAAATATAAATTCTTCCTAGTCACACAAGCAGTTTTACATACAACTTTTGTACTTTTCGTTACACAGTAGTTTTGTAGGTGACTGATCCCAGTTCTAAATCCCTGACTATGTTTATGACTGGAAGTACATAAACACTTATGGGTTATTCCATGTTTATTAACTTTTGCCCTACAACATCCCTAAGCAATTTTCTTGTGTTTTCATTATATATTTTTGTTACTATGCGTCTGTAGAAGAGGGTAGTTACCATGCTTTATATTCTCAGAGTAGTTCTCACTGTGGTATACTATAAGCAAGACAAAGATAATTACCAAATTCTTGGCTTAAGCAACTAGAAGAATAAATTTATCATCTGATGAAATGAAGTAGCTGTAAGAAAAGGAGGTTTGAAGGGAAAATAAGGACATCACTTTTGAGTGTGTCCAATTTGAAATTTCTGGGATATATCAAAGTTATGTGTCATATAATCACTTCTCCATATGGCTAAATTTTGGAAGAGGTTATGGAGATACCGATTTAGGATTAATTGCTTATGGTCCCATTTTAAATCACAATACTGGATGAAACTACCAAGAGAGTGAGTGTGGATGGAGAATGAAGTGGATGAAAGAAGAGCCCAGCTCAAGTATAACATTAAATGCCTGAGACCAAGCCTGGCACAGTAGCTCAAGCCTGTAATCCTACCTACCTGGGAGGTGGAGACTAGGAGGATTATGGCCCAAAGCCAGCCCAAGCAAAAAGTTAATAAGATCCCATCTTAGCTAATGACTGGGCATGGTGGTGTGGACCTGTCATACCCAGCTATGTGAGGAAGCACAAAGAGGAGGATCATGGTTCAGGCCAGACTGCACATAAAAGTAAAACCCTGTCTCAAAAATAACCAACAGAAAAGAGCTGGCAGAGCAGCTCAAGCAGCAGCACACCTACCAAACAATTGTAAGGCCCTGAATTCAAACCCAAGTATCACAAAAAAATGGTTGAGGCCAATAGGCAAACTAACAACAACAGGTAAGGAATTCTAAAAACAATCTAAAATAAAATAATAAATATCCTATTACTGAAAAGTGTTTGTAAATCACTTGTACTTTTAGGATAAAGGTTTAAAAGACAAATCTATTAACAATAAGAACAGCTATGATGATATGTTAAGGAGACTTAATATAAAAGACACAAATTGTGACACCAAAGACAAAGTGGAGAAGGATGAAGGATGAAGATGGTTTTTATGCAACTGAAATTAAGTTTCTCTCACCTTAAAATAACCTGGTAAAACTACAAGGTGTTTTTCAGAGGCCTCATGATAGCCATAAAGCAAAAACATATGGTAGGTATGCAAAGAAAAAAAAGAAGGTGTCAAAGCATACTACGACAGAAAATCATTAAATCACAAAGAAAGGTAGCAAGAGAGGAAAGGGAAAAGAGAATCTATATAAAACCCCCAAATACTCAAAGTAGAAGCAGTAAGTCATTATCTTCAATAATTACCTTGGTAAATGTTTAAAAGTTTTCAATTGAAAACATAGAGTAAGTGCCAGTCATTTATTCCCAGTACCAGCTACATGGGAGGTCGGAGTAGTATTAAAAATGAGGCCAGTCTGGGCAAAGTTAGCACCAGACCATTATCTGTAAAACAAACTAAAAGCAAAGGGAATGGGGGCATGGTTCAGCAGGTAGAGCATTTGCCTAGAATACACAAGGTCCTGAATTCAGTCCCCTAGTAACACACACACACACACACACACACACACACACACATAAAGTTGTGGAGTGAACTAGAAACGAACTACATCC